CCCCACCTTCAAACCTGGCTGATTTGAACATCCACTCCTACAGCAGACGTGCCCTTGGAGTTCGTGTTGTTGGCCGAGGCTGTGATTGAGTGGCGTCTGCCGAGTGAAGTCTCCGCTTTTTTAAGCTAACTCACTAATCACAGGCGCTGCTAAAGAGTCTTGGAGTGGTGAGACTTACCAGAAGCTGCCTAGCGCCACACGGCAAAGGACAGTCTATATATCTTGGCGGCCACCGAAATTACTCACTCTTTCTGAGCCATTGGTCAAGTGGGAGTGTTCTGGGTAATTTTCTCCCTTGCTATAACGGAGTGTGGAGTATTCCCTTTTTGCTGCTACAAGACAAACCAACCTTCCATCGAAGCTGAGGTCCATATGTCAACCTCCTGCAGCATTTGCTTCTCGAGCCCAATCACTCTTTGGTGTGAATTGAGAATTGGGCGACTGCACCAGCCTGCGACCAAGTTGTTGGGACAGTCCTCACGATTTGGCCAGGTTGACGTATTGACATGGAAAGTGGCCGAGAACATATGTCGCACTAGGAATCCCAAAGCGAGAGGTAGCTGAAAAAACTGTCAGGGATTTGATTGAATGCTGCTATAAGTGATGGCCAAGGTGAACAGTTAGCCCAAAGACTTCAGAGATGAGTCGCGAACTGGGTTTAAAATCATCAATACAATTGTCCGTGTCTCTCAAATCTACATAGTATGCATGAACTCGTGTAACCTATTTCACACGATGTACAGGAAACCCGTCGCCAGTGCAAGAAGCTACCAGCAAATACATGACCCAAGACCTAGATACGAAGTAGGTGTAGTGGCCTCTGGAGAGCAGATAGAAGCAGAAAGGCGAAACTTGACAAACATGAATATCAAATTAATAGTTGCTTCGCATAGGAGAAGATCCAGGGAACCCCACTGCACGAAGTTTCTGCATGGCTGAAGAGGCTGATGGGATACACTGATAGGAGCATTTTCATTACAGAGTGTTCCAGCATCTTTGCTATTCCTCAACAATACTCCTCCGAAGCATCTTCGCATGCAGCGGCAGATTCTGTAAATGGTTCGCCGTAGTTCACCGTAGTCCCAAAAAAGGTTAGCGTGATAATTTCTCCGAACGCCAATGGAGGGACCGGCACCATCATGGCTGCGGTTACGGTTGCGGTCAGCACCAATACCTCCAAGTGCTTCAGATTTGTTCCAGCCTGGCAAATCTGAGAGCCCATCGAGACTGCAGGCTCAGTCTTTCCTGTTTCTCTTCAAGTTTCATTCATCCTCAGTCAACTCCCCTGTCAAAACTATGGCAGGCCGTTTCGTACGCTCTTCCAAATATCGGCACGTGTTCGGCCGTCCGACTCGCAAGGTGTGGCTTCACCTGCTTTCAACTGGGAGGACACCAGGCTAAGAGCTGAAAAGGAACAATGTTATGACAACGTGAGGGTATCGAAGAATGCATGGGACACGAACTTGATCAAGGTCCGCACCGTCTGCAAGCTGCAATCCCAAACGCTGACAGTGCCAGGCCAACCCAGAATATCTTGCCCTTAACTGGGATAGCAGCGGTGGTGGTGCGTTTGCCGTCATCCCCACGAAAGAGAAAGGCCGCCTGCCCGAACGCATACCACTCTTCCGAGGACATACCGCCGTGGTTCTCGACACCGATTGGTGGGTTTGACGGTCAAGGAAAAAACAAAGAAAGGGCGTGGGACTGACAAGTGAAGGAATCCGTTCAATGACTCGTTGATCGCTTCGGGCTCTGATGACGGCAAGGTGGCGAGAGGTGCCCATTTTGGCGGAAATTAAATGCTGACCTGCACAGGTATTCTTGTGGAGAGTCCCCGACGAGTTCACCCTACATCTCGACCTTCCCGCAGACGAGATACAGGATATTGCCCCTGTTGGCAAGCTCAGTGGCCACCCCAAGTATGCAATCAGGCATCATATTTGGAGCAATGACTTACACCTTTCAGGAAAGTAGGGCACGTGCTCTTCAATCCCGCCGCTGAAAATATTCTGGCGTCGGCAGCTGGAGATTTTACGGTCAAGATATGGGATATTGAGTCCGGCTCTTCCAAGCTCTCGCTGAAGGTTGGCGAGGTGATTCAGTCTTTATCGTGGAGCGCGAATGGTTCCCTCCTAGTCACGACTTCCCGAGACAAGAAATTGAGGATATGGGACACAAGACAAGAAACAGCCATTCATGAGGGCCCAGGCCACGCGGGTGCAAAGAACAGCCGTGCCGTGTGGATGGGGGAACACGACCGAATTGCTACGACTGGCTTTTCCAGAATGAGTGACCGTCAACTTGCACTTTGGGACGTTCGAAACGCCCAAGAACCCATTGACGGGTTCCAAATGCTTGACTCGATCTCTGGCGTATGCATGCCCTTTTGGGATGAAGGCACTCAGTGTTTATTCCTCGCTGGCAGGGGTGACGGCAACATCCGTTATTACGAGTATGAGCACGACAAATTCGAATATCTGTCCGAGTACAAATCATCCGATCCTCAACGTGGGGTGGCCTTCATTCCCAAGAGGGGAGTTAACCTGCATGAGAACGAGGTTGCTCGAGCATACAAGACGGTAAATGACAACTACATCGAGCCTATTTCTTTCATTGTACCCCGGAGAGCAGAGACCTTTCAGGAGGATATCTATCCCCCGACTGTTGGACTGAAAGCAGCAATGAACAGCAAAGAATGGCTTGACGGTGCTGAGGGTTTGCCACCAAAGATCTCCATGGAGAGTTTGTATGAGGGTACTGGCCTCAAAGAGGTCGCTTCGGATGAAGTGAAGCCGGCCAAGAAGGCTCCTGAACCCATCAAGGCTGTCGAACCGAAGAAAGAAGTTCGCCAGTCGATTCCAGAACCAACACCAGCCACAATTCGATCTCCACCTTCATCCATGAAGGAACAAGGCGCTACGATGATGGGTGCCGCCGATAAATTCAAAGATACCGAGCCTGCAGAAGCCGAGGATGACGAGTCGGATTTCGAGGAAGTCCAGAAGCCCATGGAACGGACATCTGCTGCTAAACCGGTCCTGGCTGAAGAGAAAAAGGAACAATCGCCTACTCCTGCTGCGAGTAAAGTATGGGAAGATGTCGAAGCGCCTGAACCTGCTCCTCCTAAGCACAAGGTCCGCTACCAAGAATTCCGCATGTATACTCTAAACTAATATGAAGCAGATGACCGAAACGGAAATGTCAGATGAACAGACTGTCGAAGAGGGAGAAGCTTCGAACCTGGCTGAGGCGACTCCGACGTCAGATTCCATGGAGCGGGAGATGAAGAACATGAAGGCTTTGATTGCCCAGCAGTCACGGCAGCTGAGCAGCCTGACCAAGACGGTAACAGAACTCGTTGCGGAAGTGAAAGCTTTGAAAAGTCATAGATGATTCGCCTTGGATACATTGTTACTTGATGTTAGCGAGTTGCGTTGAGTCAAAGAAGCCAAAAGCCCTCACTAACTACTTTTGCCTTTCCAGTCATGTTCCTTGTTTGATGGTGGTCGTGTTGGTCATGCTTAACGGCGTCGAAATGATTCAAAACAGGTACACTAATTGGGAAAATGTCTTTACGTATCCAAGTCAAGGGACGGAAGCAGTGGAGCCGAAATACACCAGGTGGTTCCTGGACGATTTTACGCACACGAGGATGATGTACCGAGCTCTCCATGCAGGCGACATGTCATTTGGGTTCATGATCCAGGACTTTTTATTACCGTACGATCTCGGCGAACAGCTTATCCGTTGTGCCTCCGAGAATTCAAGCAACTGGCCATTGTCCTTCAACTTTCAACTCCAGCCATATAGAAGGCCGAAAGTCTCAGCCTATGATTAACATTGGTCTTTGAAGATCGGCATCGATCGAGGGTGGAACATTTGTACAGCAAAATCGAAATCGAGAAATACATCTAACTTACGCGGCCGCAAAATCCGTTATTTTCATACATACTTTCCTGAAACGGAGTACTGGAAACTGTATGATAGTGAGTGGTATGACAAGGTGAGGGAATGCCGTTCAGCAACGGGCTTTGCCAGCAGTATGGGACCAAATCAAAAGCATAAGAAGAAGCCGATCATGGCTTTAACACCAGCCATCTCATGGCCATTTGCCGGATTCATCGGAATCTAGCGTACCATCCGGGGCAAAAGGCTATTTGATTCATAGGAAGCCAAGCTGGACATATTGGGTGCCGCGCCTCTCGAAGTAAATGTGGACTGAAATGCAAGATGATTACCGGTATCATTGCCCGCCCTGATGGGAACCCTTCGAAAACTGACCTGGCCAGCAGCATGACAGGGCCGCCTTGGCCTCTTCCCCCACAAGCCTTGGCTGTCCTCGAGCAGCAACGGAGTCACCGGAGATTCGGCATATCTCCAAGCATGACTTAATACATCACGGACGAAAAGAAAGTGATCAGCTAGCCTCCCCCACGATCCGATATAAAGTCACGCGATACCCAACGAGCCCAGTGGAGAAATAAGTGTAATTATAAACGAAAGTCACCTTCAATGCAATCGCAAAATAACTTTTGGCGTGTTACCAATACTTTCTTGTCCGACCACGCCGTTTATCTTTCATCCTGGGTCTCCGAATACGCGCCACAAGGTAACTCTTTTACCATTACCACGTGGACTCGATTCCATGGAGACGCTGATCACAAGTTTGATTCGCCGAATACTCGGTAGGAACTCAGAAGTGAGGAGAAATTTAAGATAAAACGACCAGATTCGGTCATCTCCAACCTGAATTGCGTGATCAGACTGAATCGGGGATGATCGTTCCTCCTCATTATGTGGTTATCCTTAACTTTTTCTCTTTCTTTCAATACGTTGATATCGCTGACTTTGTTACTGACAACAGCAATTTTTATACGCGAGTTCAGTATCGAAATACAGGTCTACTTTGTTCTCGATAGAGATCTCAGATTGAATCAGACACACGGTGTTGGGGAGTGATGGGCTCGATTGGCGAGACTTATTCAAATGGTCGTTCAGCGATGTCCAGCACCGGTGATGGCCAGTACCCCCGAAAGCCGCTCAAACAGAGCGGATCGCTCAACGAAAAATTCGAATCCGAAGATGTCACGCCTGTCATTGGTCGGGAGTTTGCGAATGTAAACATCGTAGACGACTTGATGAAGTCCGCCGACGCGGATACGCTATTGAGGGATCTTGCTATCACGAGTATGTCTACTCCGTCCTCCAGTCCCATCCCATTCCACTCAATCCCAGTCCTGCCCAATCGTACCTGCCCATAGCCTCGCGATCCATGGAGGGACTTACAGACTAAATCGTTGCCTGATCTTCGAATGGGATAGTTAGCGAGCGCGGTGTCGTTTTCTTCCGCAAACAGGACAATTTGACGGACGATCTGCAGAAGAAGCTCATTCAGCGCCTTGGTGAATTGACGGGCAAGCCGTCCTCATCAACACTGCACATTCACCCGATCCTCAATGGGTCCAGCGAGTTCGGGCACGATCTGGAGATTAGCAACATCTCGTCTGTGTCGCGCAAAAAGCTCTTCGACGCCAACGGCGAAATCAAGAATAAACGCAAGTATGACGCCGCACAGTGGCACAGCGACATCCAATTCGAGCCGGCGCCCGCGGATTACACGAGCCTGAGACTGACCCAGCTGCCCAAGACGGGAGGAGACACCGTCTGGGCGAGTGGGTATGAGATATACGATCGCATGAGCCGACCGTGGCAGCAATTCCTCGAGGGCTTGACGGCGACATTCATCGGGGATGGCTTCATCAGAGCCGAACAGCAAGGGAGGGCGACGTTGTACGATCAACCCAGGGGGTCGCCGTTGAATGTGGGCAAGCATTTGAGTGCTGTGCATCCCGTGGTGAGAACAAATCCGGTTACCGGGTGGAAGACAGTGTTTGCGATCGGGACGTTTCCCAAAGCTTTCAACGAGCTGAATGCGGAGGAGAGCGATGAACTGTCTAGCAAATTGCATGGCATGATCGTGAATAACCACGATTTGCAGGTGAGGTTTAAGTGGAGAAATGAGAATGACATCGGTAAGTCCTCACTGAATTAGCTCTGAAATATTGCGGTGAGGGGTTCAGGGATGCTAATTCGTTTCCCCATGGGAACAGCGATATGGGATAATCGATGCGTCTTTCATTGTGCCACGTTCGATTATGATGGGTTGGGCGAGCGGTTGGGCCATCGCGCTGTCGGTATCGGCGAGGCTCCCTACCTGGATCCGAATAGTCAGTCGAGGTCTGAGGCCCTCGGTTCATATTAGAAGAACTCTGAAGAGGGTCCTGTTCGCTTGAAATCGACGTGCCCCCGAATAAGGGCAAAGCCACAGATAGATGGCTTGAGGACAAAGATACCGCCGAGTTCGCAGGCCGCCTGAGCTGCGACCCTGCGAGTTCCCAGACAAACCTTGGTAGACAAACGCTGTGTCGGCCGCATGGACTTGCACCCACCTTGTAAGAACTGCGCGACAGCTGGTTCTCGCTTCCACGGAAAGCCTGACTCGGGAAACCCCCCAGAACATGGCAATGACTTTGGGGCGTTCCCCATGTTCTTATCGCCAGGCCGGCACAGGGTCCCTCACCAAAGCATTAGTTGATCTCAGTGGTTCTGTGTCCCAAAGCCCTCCGCGGATCCCCGGCACATTGGCCACTCAGCCGTTAGCCCCATACCTAGATTTGTGCATTAGTGTACCTTGTGGTGTTTTGCACTGCAGGTTGCTAATTACAGGGCTGAATGATATCCGATTCCAGAAGGCGTCCGAAACGCATTCGGGCCTCGAAGCCGAGACGAATATTCGACGCATATTCCCGTGGGCCCCGGCAAACAGTCTCGAAACCCACCATGACAATTTCCAAGATTGATCTTGCCGCGGCTCCTCCTTCTGGCAGCACAGGGTTATTCATATTACGAGGTCCAGAGGTAGGCATTGACCGGGGGTGTCAGGATGTGATTTTGATACAGAGTACACCCTGAAGGATGCTATCTGCGAATCAAGTACCTGATGTCTATCTATACTGCTTACTGGGATGCAGACCTCAGCTCTTTCTTAGATGAGCACCATTTCCTCTAGTTGTGTGACCAGCACCAACAGGCACCTTATAAGGAATGGCAACCAGCGGCCAGGAACTTGCCTTCAGATCGGGCTGCTCGCCTGTACTAGCGACTAACTTGTTATGGACTAAAACACGCCCATCCAGCCTAGTGGCCCCTCTGCTTCCTTCCGATTGGGTGCAGCTCACAAGCTTGAGTTTCACGTCATCACTGCAAATCGCAGGGCAAAAGTTTTTCGAGGTTGCAGCCGGACCTCGCACTTTGTTCCGTCGCGAGCCGCTATCAGTGCTACATGCCCGACTTCCCCTTCCATTACTGGTCCATCCTCGTTCCTCGGGTCTGGCTTCGTCTCCATCCCCATCGATAACAATGGCTTACAACCATGCAAAGGCACCTGCTCGCTCATCGGGGCTTGCTAAGGCGACCCCTGCCAAAACGCACCCAAACACGTCACTCGCTGCCGTTCAAGCCTTGCGATAAGCACTCGCAAGCTTCAAGCTCGATCCTGATGGCATCGCCGCCGTCGGCTCCACAGATCCACAGGTGCTTTTTTTTCATATTTTGATCGATATCCTCCCAGAGCGTTGTTTTTCGCTCAGTCAATCCATCTCGCCGTCACTGTCGCGACGTCGATTTGGGCCTGCTTCTGGGGCCCTAAAATTGTCCTCCAACGACAGTGCGTTCCTGGCTCTCTTGAACTTATCATTCGAGCCTTGCGAACCCCCTCTTCACCATGACGGGTGCCACAACGTTCCCGTCGGAGCCTGCACCCGACATGCTCGAAAAGAAGGAAAGTGTACCACAAAACACCGACCTTGAGGCGACCATCGACCAGGAGGATCCCCTTGCTCTTCTCTCAAAGATCGAAACCAACTCGGATGCGCATCCGATCCGATGGCCGCTATGGAAAAAGTGGTATATCGTCTTCGTGTACTGCCTTCTCCAGGTCTTTGTCACCCTGACATCGACGACGTACGTCTCGGTTGAATTCTTGATCATGGAGAAGTGGACCAGCTCCACGCAGGTCGCCACGCTCGGCCAAAGCATGTTCATCGTCGGGACCGCCGTGGGACCTGCGTTCCTTGGCCCTCTTTCCGACATTGGAGGCAGGAAATGGGTATACGTGGGCTCGATCCTGCTCTATGCGATTCTCAATATCGGCACCGCTCTGGCCGACAACTTTCCAATGTTGGTAATCTTCTGCTTCCTCATCGGGTGCGCGGGCTCGGTTGCCTTGTGCAATGTTGCGGGAACGATTGCCGATCTCTTTGGCGATTCCGACGGCGCGGCGCAGCCCATGGCTCTTTTTGTCCTCTCGGCGAATTTCGGGCCTAGTTTGGGCTCCCCGATAGGAGAATGGATAGCAGAAGATGAAAGCCTGGGGTGGCGCTGGATATTTTATATCAATATCATCATCGGCGGCGCGTTCGCCTTTTTCCTGTGTTTCATGCCTGAGACTCTGCCCCGCATTGTCATTGCCAAGGCGGTCAAGAGACGGGGCAGCGTCGATCAGAATGCCCTGGAGATTGCAATGGGATCAAGCAAGCTGTCCGTCATGCGAGAGGTGAAGTTCGTCGCGACGATGGCTCTGAGAATCATGTGCACCGAACCCATCGTTATTTCGCTTGGCCTGTGAGTGATTCCACTTTCTGGAGATTAAATCAACTGACTAGACGGCTCAGATACAACGGGTTCGCTTATGGTTTGCTATTCCTCTACCTCGACGGTGTCTTTGATGTGTTCGTCTTCAACAACGGTCTCAGTTATATTGGGGCATCATTGACCTACCTTAATTTCTGTGTCGGTGTGTAAATGTGTCGGAGACGTTGCGTGTTATTTCTAACGAGAAGATATAGGTGTCACGGTGACATTCATCTTTGTGCCTGTCCAGACCTACCTCTTCCGGCGGGATCGGATAAAGCACGGCCGCCACAGGCCCGAAGCCCGTTTTCTCACATCTCTGGTGGCTGTTTGGCTGTTCCCCATTAGTCTATTCTGGTTTGCTTGGACGTGCGATGGTGAGCATCATCAAGGTGTCCAACTCTGCCGTGGCGGGTTTTAGCGCTAACATACTCGGGGATCTAGGCTCGGTATCATATTGGTCTCCGGTCGTGGCGGGCGCCGTGCTTGGCTTCTGCGACCCACTCCTTTGGTTGGCAATGCTTAACTATATCACGGATTCGTATCCGAATGTGGCGGCCAGCGCCATTGCAGCTTTCCTCATCCCGAGTTTCCTCATCGCCGCAGGTTGCGCACATGCCGGTGTTGCGATGTTTGCAAACATGAATATCAGATGGGCGTTCTCGACGCTGGCATTCATCTCTATTGGCTTGGTGGTGCTGGTATATGTCCTGTTCTTCTTTGGGCCGACGTTGAGAAAGTGGAGTTCGTTGGCGAGGACGTTTTGAGTATATGCTATAGAGGGCAAGCGGAGCAAATTGCCCAGGCAGACAGTGACAGGAACGAAATGACGGGATCAGTGGAAATTAGACAGGAATGGGCGCCGTGCATGTCTGACTTAGAGGTCACCTTTTAATTCATACACACAACTTTGAATTGACCCGATCACGGCCACCGTCGCGGACCAGAAAATCCCAGCTGGTTATAGCTCAATCAGAGGAGGCTGCAGATACCAGTACATCACGAGCCTACCTGCAGCGGGACAATACGCCTCGTTGGTGGTCAGATGCTCTTCCACCAGAACTGATGACTACGGCTATTTTGTGATTTCATCAGATGGGCCAGTGGGAGGGCGCCAATGAAGATCTGACATTGAAACTGCAAGCGAGATGATTGCTTTTCTTGATGCTGGGATGGCCAGGATGGGCCTTTAGCAAGCGAGAAAGGGGCGAGGCGGAAATACCCAGTACTAAGAAGCAGAGGGAATAAAGAATTAGTCGCCAGTATTGGTCAAGTCCATCTGGTCCATCCAATGCCCAGCCTCGTATCGGGCCGAGCGGGGCTCGGTGGGCTCCGGGCAAATCAGAGAGCGTCGATAAGGCTGCCCCTCACAGGCGTGTCCCGACAGTGCAGCGACCCGGTTTGCCCGGTGTTCGGAGGAGTCTTCATGGTGCCCCCAGGGCTATTCACAAGTTAGGCATCTCTTCGCTAATGCCTGCCGATACCTCCTAGGCGCTCCAGCCCTCGTCGGCTGTGATTGCTCGTCGCCGCTGCCCGTCAAATCTGGGACCCGCATTGCAGACTTTTTGGCCTGGTGATATGGCTCTTGGCTCTACAGACGGACATCTGGCCCGACGCCATATCAACAAAGAAATTGAGTTCCAGGTCTTCGTCGGAGCTGGCCATGGCCCGACGAGTCAGAATCTGCGCTCCAGCTCGACAACATCAGTATAAAGAGAGCTGGCGACCATTCGAAGGCTGGGGACTGTGCACCCACGACGGACCTCAACTTGACTGAGCACGCGACCACATCTCCTCCCCCAGCCAGCACAGCACTCACCCCATCCTCGGCACCTAATCACACCTCCGTCGAGAACACCACCAATATCATTGTTCGCAATGGGCGAAGCAGACCGCATTGGGCCAGACATGAGCCCCAAGAAAACCCTCGCCGATCGTGTGAACAGTATCCGCAAGACCTTCTTCACCAAACATGGTCTGGTTGGCGACTATGACTATGCATTCCTTTTTCGGCCCAACCTCCCCTTTCTCAAGAAGCCTCGTCGCGCATCCCCTTTCTTCGGCCTCCATGACCCCATGCCCATTGTTCTGGCGCTCTTGCTGGGCTTTCAGCATGCTCTGGCCATGTTGGCCGGTATCATGACGCCGCCCATTATCCTCGCCGGTCAAGGAGGTGTCAATTTGCCCGCCGACTATCAGCAATATCTTGTCAGCACCTCTTTGATCGTGTGCGGCATACTGTCCTCGATTCAGATTACGCGGTTCCATATCTGGAGGACGCCGTATTATGTTGGCACTGGCTTGATTTCGGTCGTGGGAACATCCTTCGCGATTATCCCCGTCGCCACCGGCGCTTTCGCGCAGATGTATGCGAACGGCAAGTGTCAATTGGACGCAGATGGAAATCGTTTGCCCTGCCCCGACGCCTATGGTGCTCTCATCGGAACATGTGCGCTCTGTGCTTTGGTGGAAATCGCGGTTTCTTTCTTGCCACCGAAGGCCCTGCGGAGGATCTTCCCACCCATTGTCACGGGTCCAACTGTTATTCTCATCGGCGTCTCTCTGATCGAG